ATCATGAAGGCAAACCTTCGTAAAACCTTGAAACTTGAAAGTGATGGTAAGTTAACTTGAATTAAAGAAAAAGTCTAAACAAGTCGGCCCTTCTAGTGACCAAAGCCTGATGAAAGGGGTCAATGCAAAGGTGCTGGCGTTTGGGTTGGAAGAGGAGGTTCAATAAAGCAATTATGTCAAAATATAACCATCACCCAACCGGGGGATGTAAGATTCGCTTACAATTATGTGTGATTCATCATCAGAGGATGTTAGTGGAGACCGCATGAACCGAGGATGCGATATACCTAGCTGCGGTCCGATGTAAGAAAATTGGAGACCGAAAAATGTGGAGTGTATTAGTGAGTGAAATTAATTATGCCGAAAATAGGTTGCCGACTGGACTCGAACCACTGAAGTTGCGACTATCAGACCTGTGCTTTCTCCACTGCTCTCTCCATGCTTCTGAATGTGGTCAGCCTAAAAGCAAACATGAAGCGCTAATTTTCTCGCATGCTCGACTTCGTATGCTTTTTCTGCTGGAGAGATTCGAGACAAGTGTGTGCGTCGTTCTACAATGTTCTACAATGTGCGTCGTTCTACAAGCTTACTGGTATAGTCGAAAGCGTAGATGGAACACGAAATAAAAAAAGACAAAAAACCATTACATCGCCTGTATGGTCAATTTCTAACATTCGTTGCGATGTTCATGAACAGAGGATGATAGGAAACGGAACTAACATTCATTGTAATAGATTTTTGGTTTGCGTGTAGTAGTACTTCATTTCCAGAACGTTTGAACAGAATCGGACTTAAGGAAAATTTTCGGTGACCTATTTTGTATGTCAAAATTTTCCCGAATTTTATTTCATACAAAGGGTTAACTTAAGTCTTCAAACTGAGCTTAGTGATTATTGGCATACGGTCCGTGGTCTGCCGTGCGCGCCACCCTAGTCATAATATTGGAACATGACCGTTGGACGACAGCTATATCGATTTTCAGAATGCAGCTTTTGATCTTGTTGGTAAGTTGTCCTTGACCTTCCAATTATCATTGTATACCATGGAGCTCAATAGACCGAAAAATCCTCGAAGGACCCCACGTAACCAAAAATTCTGATAAAAGGCTATTTGTGGCTTAAGCAGCTTGGTTGAAGGTGGTCTATAGAATTCTAAGCAGCCTCATTTTTAAGACGTTATAAGAACTTGAAAGTTCTGGTACCATAATTGAAGAGCATTCTAAGCAGCTTCTGTTGGAACTTGAACGGAACTTTTAAAAAATAAATAAAAAGTTTTTGTCCTCTACAGTTAGAGTGAAATAACGTGTGCGACAATTTTCTGGAGGGTGTAAGGATTAATTCACCTAAGGTGACATTTTTCTGCGCACGTTTTTGGTCTCTAAGAAAAGTATTTAATTCATTATCATTTGTTGTGGACACCGATAGAGTCTTTACGTCTATTATCTCGTTCACACTATCTGTTCGGAAAATCATTCTCATATCTCATTCATTGAGCCTTTCTGAGGGAATAAACGCGAGTGTAAATGTGGCAAACAAATCTCATGCTTGCATTTGGGCCCGCACTGGCACGATCTTCAGGAAGTCCGTCCGGTTTCTTGGCTTCGCCGATGACATCGACATCATGGCACGGAATTTTGAGACTGTGGCGGAAACCTGCATCAGACTGAAGGCTGAAGCTGGTACCAAATTAACGCTAAATATTTCTTACGTATTTTTAAGCATTTCCTGGTACCTTATACTTTTGACAGAGATGACTGTACCGTTATACCAACAATCAATACGAAACTAACGATTTTAAATTGGCTCACCACTTTAGTAGCCTATTGGTCCCAAGCAAACGATTAACGTACCCTATTCTAGTTGAAATTCTATTACTACACTATGTTTGTTTTGATTCGCTATGAAAGTTTGACAGATAACATCAGGGGTGTGTGGATTCATGCAGAACATGCAGGGGTGAGTGAAATAGCTTGGGACTGCTTGGGACCGTTGTTCTGGTACTGAGTGAGCCAAAAATAATAATGATTTTCTTCGGAACCCAGTGGTCTTAGAGTTACCTCTATGGTTATACTCCTTTAATCCAGTACCGTAATCAAAGTACTAGATTAAAATAGTAGAACGGTACTACACGCAAACCAAAAATCTATTACAATGAATGTTAGTTCTGTTTCCTATCATCCTCTGTTCATGAACATCGCAACGAATGTTAGAAATTGACCATGCAGGCGATTTAATGGTTTTTTGTCTTATTTTATTTCGTGTTCCATCTACGCTTTCGACTATACCAGTAAGCTTGTAGAACGACGCACATTGTAGAACATTGTAGAACGACGCATACACTTGTCTCGAATCTCTCCAGCAGAAAAAGCATACGAAGTCGAGCATGCGAGAAAATTAGCGCTTCATGTTTGCTTTTAGGCTGACCACATTCAGAAGCATGGAGAGAGCAGTGGAGAAAGCACAGGTCTGATAGTCGCAACTTCAGTGGTTCGAGTCCAGTCGGCAACCTTTTTTCTATTTTTTCGACATAATTAATTTCACTCACTAATACACTCCACATTTTTCGGTCTCCAATTTTCTTACATCGGACCGCAGCCCAGGCGAGTAAGAGAGGTGCCACAGTCGGAAGAAGTGTTAGTTTGTTTACTAAAATGAATCACCCATTTTGTTATGGCAAGTTTTGCTATAAGAAATGCTCCTCGTGTTTATTAGCGAAATTCACATCAAAGATTGATTAATTGCGTAGGAAATCAGTTTGGCACGGCATTTTAAACCAGCATACATATTCCGGTCGTATAAAACAGGTTAAAAACTGTCCAAATCCGCAGATAAAAAATTTTGTTTTGAATTTCTGTATGGCAAAATAGTGAACTTTTCGTGAACATTAACGGCAAAGAACTCACCAAAAGTATATGAGTGAGCTTGTAGGGCGCTTGAAGTGTGAACGGGATATTACACCATAGACGAGTGCACGGATGGATTTGAGTTCACTCACTCGACAAAAAGTGACACAACAGCGGGGCCCTGTTTACTAATAATGAACACATATGTGTTCATTTATAGTAAACAGGGCCCCGCTGTTGTGTCACTTTTTGTCGAGTGAGTGAACTCAAATCCATCCGTGCACTCGTCAATTAGGTTCTGCAGCGTGACGTCACAAATGAACTCAGTGTTAATAGACTGAACCTTTTTGACAGTTCAGTGGTACTGTTTACAAGCACTTAGTCGTTTTTTCGAAAAAACAAATTCTAAAATTTCCGAATTTTAACTTGAAAATTGTCGAGGAACAGCGCGTTGCAAGGATGTTGCTCGTGAACATTGCAGAAATGCTGTTTACATCTCACTGCAGTCTGAAAAATTATCGAGAAAATCCACCCAAGAAAAAATCGACTAAGTCCACGTAAACAGTACCACTGAACTGTCATCAGATTGAGGTTAACCCCGACGGTGCAAAACCTAATTCGTTGAAACCTTGTTTTTGAAGCAAGCCTTGAAAATCAGTTACTACAATCGAAGTGAACGTCACCCAGCATTTCGGAACTACTGTTTTGATTTAGATCTATTTTAAATTTTTATTTCGTCAGAGTCTTCAAGTTGGAGAATGTATGCAAGCTCTGCAAGAGGAACCAGCTTGTCGGAAGATCACCGTAAAGAAAATGAAAATTCGTACGATGACGGTGCTGTTACCCGGCTACGGCGAGCAAGATTAACTAGGCAAGATGCTTTCGATATTGCTGAATCGTCCACTTCAGGTAGCATCGACAACAAATATCTATATGCTCAGGCAGTTTAGTTTCAAATTTTCATATTTCAGTTTCACAATCTTCTAGTGAAGCTGAACTAGCTCTAGCTGAGCTTACCGGTGTTTCAAGTTTTGAAATCGTTAATATTGAGGAACAAATGCCCAATCGAGCCGACCGAACCCTTGAAGAAGCGGTAGCTCCGCGAATGATTCCATCCCGGCCATTTGTTCGTTTAGTGCAGAAAGTTGCCCAAAATATTAGGACGGATTTCAGTTTTCAAAATGCTGCCTTAGAAAAGCTCCGGAGTGCAAGCGAGGTGTATTTGATACAACTAATGAAGGACCAACATTTATGTGCCATGCATGACAAGCGCGTCTCAATTTTGCCCCGGGATATGATATTAGCTCTTCGCCTCCGAGGGGGTTTTCCGAGAAGGAATCATGAGAGAGTGGCTGGTCGAAGAGAGCACAGAAGAAAAATGTAAATGATAATAGTTTTGGAATGTTTGATACAATCTTGTTAAATTATAATGTATAGCTTTAGGTGCTATTTATTTGTCATCTGAATCTGGTTGATATCACTGTCCTTGCTTTCTAAAACCATTGGTTAAAGTGCCAAATCTCAGATCGATTTTTTCGTTCCAACCGATGTTTTCGTTTACAAAAGGATCACCAGATTTGCTATTCTCCTCAGTGTAACAACAGCGTTTAGATGAAAATTGTGTTTATTCCACTTCTCGCGCGAGTCGAGATGACCATTCTCGTTTCCTTCTCGCGTGACAATTCTCACTCTATTCCGAATGTCGACTCGCACGACGCGAGTTGTTCATTTTGCATCGAGAGGAAGGATGAATCGACAGCGAAGTGCTGTTCATTTATAGAAACGTCAAACTGAAAAAGTTCATCGCTAAAGCTATGATAAGGGCGTATGCAGTATTTTCTAACAAAACAGTAATTTGATTTTGGAATAAATATCAGTTTTTTTCAATAAATAAAATCATAGATACGGATAAAAACAATAGAGCATACGTTTTTCTATCGTTTGGGAATTATAACTTAAGGTTCTAAGTAACTTTCTTTGCCACTTCGATAGCACGACCGGTTATGTATTTTGGTCCTTGTTTGAGAGAGGTGCAGGTTTGTTGTTGTTAATTCAAGGATCCGTTTTGTTTTTGTGAATCTACCAATCGTGGTCAAACCCGGTGTTTCGTGGATTTTTCTTCTAATAGTTGTGAGTTTTCTGTTTTTGGGTTTTCACAATGAGTAGTTATGAGTTTTGGTTTAGTGATGAGGAGGATGAAATCGAGGATTTACATTTTGAAACGGTGCGAGTTGAGCGTCGCAGATTGAGGGATTTGAGTAATCCCTTGGATATGCCATCAAATTTGTGAGTACTTGCTGAAATCTATAGATATCTTAATGCTTAAAACTATTTTCGATTACAGATTTTTAAATTACTTTCGTGTATCGAAAGAGCTTTTCCGATATTTATTGAACATTGTGGATGGCAAATTAGGAGGAACCAAATCTTCATCTGTGCAGCCGATGTTAAAGCTCTCAGCTGCGTTGAGATTCTTCGCTGAAGGGAGCTATCAGAAAGGTGTTGGCAACGATTTCTTTGCTGGAATGGCACAACCCACACTATCGAAGGCATTATCCGCTGTTATCGATGTGTTCGAAGCAGCAGTTTCAGAAGTCGAAAAGCGTGAAATCAAGCACAGCTTTTACGAAAAAACTGGATTTCCCGGCGTAATAGGTTGCGTGGATGGTACGCATGTCAGGATTGTTAAGCCTGTTGGTGATATTCAGCACCTATATTACAACAGAAAAGGCTTTCATAGTTTGAACGTTATGCTTGTATGAATGTTTAATTGCTGAAAAAACTTGAATTACTTATGTATCATGATTTCAGGTCTGCGATCATAAACAGATGATCCGTTACGTGGATGCAAACAGTCCCGGTGCCAATCACGACTCGTTTATTTGGAATAATAATCCATTAGATGTTGAGTTGAGTCAGCAATACCAGAATGGAGAAAGAAATACTTGGCTTTTGGGTAAGCTTCGGTAATTGTGTGTGTCAAGCTGAATAAAACTAAACTTGGCTTTTTGTATTTGGTTTCAGGAGATGCAGGATACCCTTTAAAACCTTATTTGATTACACCATTCCGTAGTTCTGGCGATGCAAGGCAGACTAAATTCAACGAAATTCACTCTAAAACAAGGATGCTAATTGAGAGAACTATAGGAGTAATGAAGAATGTGTTTAGGTGCATCTTAGGAGCTCGTCAGCTGCACTACAAACCAGAAAAAGCTGCAAAAATTGTTAATGTATGCTGTGCTTTGCACAATTTGAGAAAACAATTTAATCTTCCCGATGATAACTTTGACGAGTTGATTGATATTCATCAAATTGAAGATAATGCACATAATAATGAAAATGATGCATCAGTAAACGAAATAAGACAGCAAATAATGTACCCTATCGCTTGAATACTACATGAAGGAAATATAAATGTTGAAAAATAGTTAGTATAAAAGCCCACATTTTTGGAATCATAAACAAGAAAGAAGACAATATGGACTTCAAAAATACTCCAGGTTAATTTAAGGAGCCCCGCATAAAAGCGAACCATAAATTGACCTTACCTAAAATGGTTGAAAATTGTTTATAATCCCTGCTAAACTTTAACTGAAATGGTTATGGAACTTTACATGAACGTTTAATGATAAAGTTTCAACCTTATGTATTATGGTTTTTTGGAACTGGACCTTACAAATAATGGGTTGTTAAGAACAATTACCATTCCAAATTCTTGTTTTCTCCATACATTTACAGAAAGAGAACTATATAAGAACGTTTTAACTTATGATTTGAGAACATTAATGGTAATGGTTATGGTAGTCAGTAAGGTCCATTAATGGTTTTGTATTATCGCTCAACTTTACGTGGAATATATCGTGAATTGGTAATCAGTAAATTACAGGCAACTAATTCGCGATATATTCCACATAAAGTTGATCGATGTTACAAAACCATTCGTGGACCTTACTGACTACCATAACCATTACCATTAAAGTTCTCAAACCATAAGTTAAAAAGTTCTCTTTCCGAAAATGTATGGAGAAAACAAGAATTTGGAACGGTAATGGTTCTTAACAACCCATTATTTGTAAGGTCCAGTTCCAAAAAACCATAATACATTAGGTTGAAACTTTATCATTAAACGTTCATGTAAAGTTCCATAACCATTTCAGTTAAAGTTTAGCAGGGATTATAAACAATTTTTAACCATTTTAGGTAAGGTCAATTTATGGTTCGCGTTCATGCGGGGTTTCATCTGAGATTGTTTTATTTTTCGTGTCATTTACAGGCATCCTTGGGTTCATCCTTACCCCGCTCAGGCATCATGAGATATCGTTGCTGAGACGGATATCGTTGGTTTCTGCGGCTTGATTCCCTGCATCAGTCAGGGAATTCACCCACGCTAACTTATCCCGTCTACAGCAACGGTTAGCTTCCCTTTCGAGAGTCGAATACCGTTGAACGGTCTCGATCTTGACTTCTCGGCTCCTATTCCGCTGTCTCGCGGATTTTCAATCTTCGCCCCTTGACCTTCCTCCAGGTTTTATCAATGTTTTTTTTATGATCGTGATTTTTAGCCGGAGGCTAGTTCATTAATAGGTTTTATCAATGATTAACTTTTTCAGCTAAGTTTGCAGCTCATCCATAATATTTTCGCTTGTTTTCATAATGGCATTCTTGATGGCCGTCCATTGTTCTTCTACGCCACCACCATCTGAAATATTCACCGCGCGAACCTCAATTATTTCGGTAATCTAACCGACGATCTCTTCCCAGCGGGAATTTAAGTCAGCGTATTTTAAATCGCAGCCAAAGTCTACCCTCTTGCCGTTGAACCCACGCAATGCGTAGGCGAATCTCCCGAGCAAAGTAAAACAACAACGTGATGTCATCTAGAAAACAAATTTTGTTATTCCAGATATTATTTTGTTTTCAGTTGTTATCGTATAACTAATATTGTTATCACCCTTGAATAATTTTGTTATCAGTTGATATCATGAAAAAATATGAATTGATGTAAGGTTAGTTCAAAACTTTAAATATTATGCGTATAGTAAGAAAAAAAAAATACTGCCAGTCACATTTCAGTTATCAGCGTAAGGCTTTCATACCAAATAGGGGAAATGCAGGTAATGTCGGCCTAAGTGTCCCTAATTTGGGTCCATACATAAATTCAGTAATCGACTAAATTTTCAATAGCAACCAAAAATATCCATTAGTAACGTCCCAATAACGCGTTCATCTAGATAAAATTAATAAATAGCAGATTTTTAGCAACGGGCCCAATCTTAGATCCATAGGCCAACATTAGAGACATTTCCCCTATATAAAATAACTTGAAATTTGTTGAACAAAAAAATGCATAGATCACAGGATATGTTATCAAGATGTTTTCAATGATAACTAAATCAGTTATATTTGTGATATCGAAGGAGTATTATTTTGTTACAATTTTTGTTATGTTGACTGTTTATTCGACCACAATAATAACATTTACAGGATCCGGAGATAAAACAAGATCAGAAAAAATCGGATTATTCGTACAAAACAGCATATCTCCTAAACCATATTTGAGTCGCCAAACGAAAGGTATTTAAATCCGGCAGTGTGAAAATTGCATATAAATAGTAGATAGCGAGCTAGGACAACTTTTAAGGAAGGTACAAATCGGTTTTTTCATCTCTCTTTACCAAACTCCCCTTTGAAGAGGGATGGTGAGGGGTGTGTCCCTCCTCTGCCACCACTGGCAAAAAGAGATGAACGCCGACCGCTCAAGTACCAACGATGTGTTTGAAACAGTTTTACCGATTTTTAACGCACTTCAGTTGTTATTTGAAGGAAGGCATCCAGTCGTAGGTTTGGAAATTAGCATCTTCAACTAGACAAACTTAAGTTCAACGCAATGTCATCAAAAACATAGCTAAAGATATGGAATTCTATGTCATCTGAAAAATGATTTGACCATTAGTAGTAAAATATGAAAATCTCTTAAATAAAGAAACAAAAAAGTAGTAAAATACAGATATACAAATCAATCATCTCCCCTAATTTCGAGGGGGACGACTCTATCTACAATGCAATAAAGATTGTGTTTTGCTGTGGCTAGCTGCGCGCACACTGAGCAGATAGAAAGAAGATTTATGACGATTCTGAAGATTTCTTACAAAAAGATGATGAGCGATGCAAGTTGATGCGACAAATGAAAGAAGATTTTTCGAAGATTGATTCGCTAGTGTGAGATTTTTTGAGCATCAAACTTGAGATTTAGATGTGTCGCCCCCCTCGGAGATTACAGCGTTTGCAGAATAAAATAATGCGGTTGTAATATGATTCACTTTCTCAACTTTGATGCTGGACGCTTTGCAATGGTTATCGGAGAAGCAAAGAATTGTGTACATGACAATGGTGTTCATTTTGAAACCCCACAATATCAACGTCACTCCGTCGTTTCTGATGTCGATCCCCATATCATCCTCACCCCCACCGACGTCGACAGAAAAATAGATCATCCTCCAACACCAAACGTACACAGTTATAAAAAAGTACCCAAAATTAAGTTCTTTTCACTCATCTCGGCACTATAGTGCAGGAACCCAAAAGTAGGTAAAGCGGGTCAAAGTTATTTTCATTTACTTGTGTGCAGTTCGTATGGAATTTTCCACTAGCTTTTAACCAAAAGTAAGTTAGTTGTACCCAACAGTAGGTAAATATGATTATACTCAACGTTGGGTTCCCACACTTTACTACCCCTGTTGGGTGGTTTTGCTCCTCCGTTTTTGACAACATTAGAAGGAGAAAAGGAGACAAACTAGTCAAAAGTAGGTAAAAGTGAACTGGCCGTTGGGTACTTTTTTCTAACCGTGTAGAAAGAAGCCGGTATGAGGCCAGTGTCAGAAACGATAAAACGACGCTAATATAACCGGTTTTACTGTACTGGAACCCACGGACACCCACCCCGACGGCCGCTGGGATCTCGGACTCGGATCCAAACACCCACAGACACACAGATTGTGAGGTCATGTTTCTAAATGGCATATCTCCTCAACCACTGAGCTGAAGACTCAGAGACTCATGTCCACCGAATAACGAAACCAAGCAAGTTAATCGGAATTTGACCAAATAAACAAGACGGAAATATTGCACAAAAAACCTTCTTTCACTAAAATTGGACTAGTTATTTAAGCAAGTAGGTTGTTCAAATTATTTATTTATTTTTATTTAAAAAGTGGGTTTGTTTCGATATTGAATCATATTTCTATTCCTGACACTCTTTGTATTTCAAAATTTCAAGTTTTTCCTTTTTGTACTTCAACAATTCAATTTTGAACTCCAATTCTGCTTGTCTATCTTTTGTTTTTTGTAGCATATATTCACGTTGTTGTTTCGCTTCTTCCTCTCGTAGTTTGAAGACTTTTCGGGAGTACCGTGCGCATTCTCCGGTATTCTCGACGATCTTTTTTAAATATTCCGTTTGTTGTTCCAGCAAGTTATACCGCAAATCCTTGCTATCCGGATGCCGTCGTTTGCGTTGCGCGGTACGAGAGCTGCTGTTGTTATTACTGTTCTCAATATCTTCTACTACCTCGTCAACTGGGTCATCTACTTCAGTCGGGTTGGCGTAAGCTTCCATTGTACTGGAGAGAAGTGGCGGTCCCGGTGACGACAGAATATTACGCGGTTGACTGGGACCCGGTTCAGGACTTAGTGGTGATGTAACAGTCACAGGCAGACCAAATCTAGAACCTATAAATGAATGTATTGTACATATCCAAACTAATTTAGATTGCATATACATACCGGAATTATTTACCGTTTTGTCCAGGGACAGCAGTTTAACAACTGCATCCTCAGTTGATGATAACACCTTCATTGTGTTCGGCCCACCACCGGTAGCTATAGCCTCGCGATTGTTGTACGATAACTTTTGTTTGATTGTGTTTTTATAATCTGTCCAAACCTCCAAAGACAGAAAACATACTAAAAAACAGAACAGAATATCCCTAATAAAAAAATAACCATAAACGAACGATAATCCAAATCATTGAACTATTCCACAAATGGTTTGGATGATACCCAGAACACGTCGTTAAGCAAATTAACCATACAATTATTATTAGGGATGCTTTGTACGCCTTTTTAATAGAAACTAAGCGATCGATTCAACCTCTGGTGGTGAATATAAGAACGTCAAAAAGAGTGTTGTGAGCAGAATTGAATTTCCATATGAGTTTTCCTCCGTAACATGTTCAGGCCGTATCTCCGGAACCTGTGTACCAATTCCGGAAATATTCAATAGCGTTAAAATAATTTTATAGATCCTTTAAAACAATAACATGGATAAAAAATTTGTTAAAGCAAATGAGTGTGTTTGTCTCCATTTAAAACCATTTATTAATTTTATCGATGA